GGTGTCTTAAAAGCGCCTACCTTATCTGGTCCAAACAAATCCAGATCATTTAGGAGCAGAATCTAAAGTTAGAAGGAGGACATACTGGCTGCTGCATTGTTGTCAGAGAAGCCAGCACTTCAACATAGCATGTTTCCTTAATGATCATATAGTAAGATACCTTTATCATTTCATTCACATACATACACATCTTACTGGTTGGACCTTTAAATATTGAACTAATTTGAACCTCAAACAATGATTGAACAATCAGAGCAGTGTGAACAGCTGAGGCTAATTCAGGGGCTCTACAGAGATTTGTTGATGTCCTGGCTTGAACTTCCATTGGGACAATGGACTTGTTTAGAGACAGTCATGTCACTCATTGTCTGGAGGAGATCTGATGTTTAATACTGTGATCTTGATCTGGTGATGTTATATGAGAGAAAGTTATAACTGTAACAACCATTTCTGTCACGCTGGGCTTGTTAAAGCGCTGTATCACAGAATTTGCACTACATTCTAGATTTGACAATCACACCTATTTCCTCACCTTTGTGATTGGATCAACATACAGAGGTGAAAACGTTGCAGGGTTTTACCTTCTCTGTCAGGCACTCTTTTTCCAAGCTCGACAGGAGGAGGACTGTGCTAAAGCATCATGGTCCTATTTGAACACGATCACATTTTGACCCCTGTCTTTAACTGCTGGCCCTCAATTCCACCTCAAAGCGACAGTTTGGAGCAGATTAAACACTTTAACTTGCTTAATGATAGAATAACACATCATGAGATGAGTCGCATTGCCCTGTTTGTAAAGGTCACATATGCTTCTCCTCTTCTTCAGTGTAAATAAGTATCAGAGCTCCTCAAAACATGTCTGTGAAGTTTCTTGTTCTAAATCCACTCTGATCCTGTATTTGATCATGTCTATAAACCCCTCTATTTCAGCCCTGCTCAGAACAGGCTGTTTCTGTGTCTGTACCTTTAAATATGTAAATTTTTGAATGGTCGTGCATCCCGCCCTCATTTTCCTCTGAGATGGGAAAGCTCTGTATTTCTTTTTTGAAAATACTTGACGCAAGAAACGTCATCGGAGGCTGCTTTGGTTAGAGGTGAAACTACAACGCTAGTTCCTCATGTTTTCAACCTGCCCATAGGGGCGGCCACTGAAGCTACATATCTATTACAGATCAGTGGGTGGGACCTCAATCTCAGAATCGAAACCCAACGTCCGCCATCTTGCTAGGAAGCTATGCTATGCTATGTTTCAACTTCAAACTGATATGGATGAGGGGGATTTTGAAGGTCTTGTGCTCAAATCGGATGTCTGTGGCTATCTCTGCGAGCCGCATTATAAGACCTGCCTGTCGGTGTCGGTGCTCAAACTGTTTGCCTATGAACACACACATAAAGTCTGTTTTCTGCCAGGAATTTCCAAGATGCCAATTCCTTCTGGAAGAAATCTTGGAATCAGTTGGGGAAACTGCCGTATGTGATGTAGTAAATGTCTGTAAATAGAGCACCTTAGTGGGAGTGGCCTGCGGTGCTGTGCATTCTGGGAGTTGTTGTCTTTCATCCACATGAGCCAAAGATACACTTTCTGCCTTTTCTCGGTCAAGAAGGCATCAACTTTACTTATTACTTGACTTCTGAATACAATTGGTTGCACTGGATTTTATTTAGAGGTATCAGAGTATAGGGGGGCTGAATACTTTTGCACGCCACACTTTTCAGTTTTTTATTTTGAAAACAAATTGAAAATCACGTATCATTTTCCTTCCACTTCACAATTATGCGCCACTTTGTGTTGCTCTATCACATAAAATCCCAATGAAATACATTTATGTTTGTTGTTGTAACGTAACAAAATGTGGAAAAGTTCAAGGGGTATGAATACTTTTGCAAGCCACTGTATGACCCAATGTCAATACAGATTCATGTTTCAACGGGTGAAGTATCCCTTTAAAATATTAAAGGGACAGGATCATATACACCGACAGAGAGTGTGAATCATTTTATAAATTGTAATATAGGAAAGCTTAAAGTGACTTCTTAGATTTTTAGTGCTGTAGAGGTAGATTCTTGAATAACCTGGGGCCAGTGTCTGATGAGAAATGTGCAGACTTCAGAAATATCTATGTGAGTGCTTCTAAATAGAGCACCTTTAATGTGTGCTGAAGAATCATGGGGAGTGTAAAAGATGGGAAAAAAGAGATTACTCAGAGTTATCTAATTTCATTCAATCTATTTTTAAGCCTGAGGTGAACAGCCTCCTGTGAGCCCGACCATAAACTAGAAAGTTTGTCTGTCCTTGATTGATACCTCAGACGGATGCTGGCTGGACACTAAATCAGAAGGCGTGCGTTTTCGTATATCCTTAACGTATCGTTTGCCTATAAAATTGGGTTCTCTCAGCTCCTCCTCTGGGGCTCCACATTCTAAGCACATGGATGCACATGCTGACTCCCAATTTCCACATACTCTGTATGCGCTCATCAGTACCGGGCACAATGCTGTCGTTCTGAATCTATAGGTACAGCTCCACTGCTTAAGGCGAGGAATCTAGGGATCGCACTGTAGCACTCAACTCGCCACTTGATGAGCGAATACATGATGTTTTATGGCGGTTGGCATATTATTTTATTGTTTTCCCTCCTTTTTGCTGTAGGTTACGCAATAGGTGAAGTAGTTTAAATGAATGCACCTGATTGGATAAACGTGCGGCTAGTCCGGCGGTTGCTTTACCCTTTTGCATAGAATAGAGCTCTGGCCTATTCTTGTCTGGCGAGCCCCTCTCGGAACTCGCCGAGACAATCCCATAATGCATTGCGGGACTGCCTCTCCGACTCTCCATAGGAAATGAAAAGTAAGCGTAGGGACGCTATCCGTCGTCAGAACCAGTGGAGCCATACCAAATGTTCGATGAAAAAGTCTCCGGTCAATTTCAAAATAAAACACAATATACGTACTCATGATCGTATTTCCATAATTGTATCAACATTATGTCAATAAAGGCACCGAATGAACAACAAATCATCCTCAGAAACACAAAGCAACATGTTGTTTGCCCGTTTTTTTTTTCTCTTACTCCCGCGGGATCTTGTAGTTCTCCTGTGATGTGAGTACAGCTGCAAGCTCCAGAAAAACAAAGCCAATGGGGCAGGGCGCTGATGGAACGCAGTTAGGTTGTGATTGTTGGAAAAACAAGGGGCTGTTTATGAAGGTTAGTTGGTTGTTTGTTATATGATGAGCCAAACACTTATAGGATTAACTTAAAGTGACTTGTTCCATTTCCAGTGCTGTAGAGGTAGATTCTTTTTAAGGCACCGTTTGCATTGACAGGTGGTCGAGTGTATATCAGTATCGGTTCAGTAATGAATGATTGTTATGAGTTAATCATCAGGAGATCTGATCTTCATATTTTACAATCAGCTTTTCATTTACGGTTTGCAGGGACCATCCTGTGCTCAATTCACGGGTTCACTCACATGCAAAAGTTGTAAACATGCCATGTTTGTGATTATGAAGCACGATGTAGTTTTATAATGAGGAGGGAATACAAGCACAGAAGAGGATAAGGGTCAGTGAACATACCATAACTCACCAAAACTGTCTCTGAAACATTTCTATAATAATAAATCTTCCAACAAAATCCTCCTGTCTCCCAATGTGGTCTCTTACTACAAAAGAAACCAATGAACTTGTAGTTAGGAAACCTCCCCCTAGCACTCATTATGCCATGACTTTTTAAAATTATAGAAACATTCATGTCATGATCCAACCAATAACAACATCTCGTCTGCAGCACTTAGTGCCCAAGCTCCAAGATCCAACACCAGTCAGGAACGCATCACTAGATCACTAATCCCAGTACGGGCCCATAAAACCAGCTGTGTTCAGTGGTCGTTCTGGTTTCACAATAGGGACCCAGGTCCGGATCCGAGTACACTTGACCCCAAAGTCCAGTTCATTTGATCAGTGTGAACACAAATTTACAGTACTCGGGTACTGTTGCCCGAGTTCGCTTGAAGAGGTGGTCTTCATGTGTAGTTGAGGACACTCCGTTGGTGAACGCAACCGTGCAGCAGCCATTAAGACGTAATTCTCAACAGCTCCTATCTCTTCAAAAACTGTTTCATCCCCTGAGCTGTAGATGCCATGACAAGACAATCTACGTTTTAAAGCGTCTGAGCTTTTTAAGGATTGGGGTTGAAGCTTAAGAGATCCCTGATCGGGGCGCTGGTGGCGCAGTGGTTTGGTGTGCCTCCATGTATGGAGGCTGTAGTCCTCCAAGCGGGCGGCCCAGGTTCGAATCCAGCCTGTGGTTCCTTTCCCGCATGTCATTCCCCACTCTCTCTCTCTCCCTGATTCCCGACTCTATCCACTGTCTCTCCATTAAAGGCACAAAAAAGCCCAAAAAAAGAGATCCCTGATCTGCTTTTTGGGAGCTAAAACAGATCTTTTTACATTTTTAACTGAGGTTAGATTTCTTGGTTGGACCTTCTTTTAAGTGTCCTAAATACCTTTTCTTGCAAACACCACCTACAGTTAAGCATGCTCATGCACTTTGGCTGCTGCTTTTCAAAACAGTGGCCATTCTGACCCCCGTCTACTGCCAATGAAAATCTCTCGAGACCTAAAAATAACCCCATTTCAAAAGTCCTGTTGGGCTTGATTTGTGTTCCATGATGATGGTACTGATATGAGTACTTACTGAATGAGTGCTCTCATTGCAGTGTGATGCGATGTTAGTTTACAGCAAGGGAGTATTCTGCACATGCAATGACCCTGGGATACATGTAGCACCTCCAGCACTCTGCTGTCCCTGCTGTCTGAGTATCAGTGATATAGTTTGTACATTAAAGTTAAAGGCGTTGCCTAGAACGAGAGTCATAACTTGTACACATTCCAAAAAGTACCGACATCCAACATGAGATGATCGGTCTTTTCTTTTTGGGGAATTAAACGCAACAAACTATGGCTTGGTTTGGGCTAATTCTGGGTCACACTGTGATCCCTCAGTTATCCCACGCCTCAAACCCCCCTCCTGATCTTGTGCTGGCCATCTCCTCTCCTGTAGTGCTTTTCTTGTGAATATTTGCCATTTCTAAACCTCGATCCGAAACACTTCTCTCCGAATGGACCACCACACAGCGCACCCTGCCCCCCCGGTTCTGCTCTGTCACGTCGCACAACTTGTTGTCGTTGTGGACTCGATTTCTCAGCCCCAACCCAAGGTGGTTGTGATTGCCAATGGCGTCTCTGAAGTCGGTGGCTCCACACTGTGCGTCGACAGACCGGTCCTTCCTGCCCCACCTTGCCATCTTCCTCCACAGGTGGCACTGCAGGAGGCAGCAGATGGGCCTGGACTGGCACATAGCCTGGAAGCCCCTCTTGAAGTTCTCGTTGTAGTACCCGTAGATGATGGGGTTGACGCTGGAGTTGGCAAAAGCCAGCCAGTGGGCAAAAGGGAAGATGTAGCTGGTCAGAAGTTCCAGCTGGTCCCTGCCCAAACCTGCGTAGTCCGTCATCATCATGAGGGTCCAGAGTGGCAACCAGGAGAGCATGAACAGCAAAGCCACCAGGATGAGCATCTTTATCACCTTGATCTTTTTCTTGGATATTATTTGCTGACCTCTTCTCCTCCCCACCACCTGGACGGTGGCGTTGGCCACCTGCGGCTCTCTGTTGGCCACCACGGACGACCACAGCTTGACTCCGATGCTGCCGTACATCAGACTAATGAGGCTGAGGGGCACCAAGTAGATGTGAGCGAACAGGACGGCCGTGTAGATCTTTGTCATCTGAGGGTAGGAGAAGTTCTCGTAGCAGGTGTACAGGGGATACGTGTGGTTGAAGTCGTTGTCGTGCACCAAGAAGTGAAAAGGGACTTTCTCCACGGTCAGCGCCACCGCAGCAGGACACATGATCGCCACCGCCAGCACCCAGATCAACACGATGACTGCCTTGGCAACAAGCACAGTTGGCTTGGGTTTAAGAGGGTACACGATGCAGCGAAACCTGGAAGAGATAAAGACAAGTACAGCATTGTCATGACTTTGAATACATTTTATGATTAACTGGATGGTATCATTTAGCGCTTTGAACCAGGAAAGATTTGACATTTCTTGTAGATAAACAGTAAAGCTTGCTAAAAATTAATGTGATAGTAGCTGTAATCTCCAGTTGTTAGTGTTTTCAACCAGTCTGCTGGTGTAGCTCAGGGAAGTTCGATGTCAGGATCAAATATCTACTATTACAGGACATAAACGCACAGTTTGTAAATTCCACCACCAGGGGGCTCTAAATAAAAACAATAAGGATGACATAGAGGCTGACGGGGAATCATGGGAGTGATTATCTCTGCTTCTCCACTCCAACTCCAGAGTGGCAGTGAACAATGATGGGCCGCGGCGTGCACGGAGGATGTGGAAATTGTGGTTGACAATGATAGAATGGTGCGACACATGTTAGTGTAGAGAAGTAAAGCAGTCGGTGGAGGAGCAAACCTGGTCAGACAGGATTCCATTCACTCTCACTCTTTGTGTCCTTTTAGTTTAAAAGTTCAGACTCTAGCCCACAAGGTCATTACCTAAATCAAACTGTTCTAAAAGCCTCTTACTGTAGTTAAAATGTGAGGTTGAATTAAATTAAAAGCAGATGAAAAATCAATAAATAAAAGCCGAGCATGTGTTAATTTTCCCTCCAGATGTTTAAAAAATAGATTCATTAAAATTATTATGGTATTCTCTCCTCCTCTGAGCGGCCGATAAGCAAAAGTTTTCAACTCGATTTTTTATTCTATTCTTATATATATACTTTTTAGTTAGTTTTTCAAAATGATAGAACAAAGAAATTCTGACAGGACAGGATAAAACACACACAGACAACCATATGCAACAAGAAATAAACAAAACAAGACAAAACATGAACAAACAATAAAAGACAATGATGATAGCCTTGTCCTGTGAGGAAGGCACTGAGGATGCTAAGATGCTGTCAATTTTTAAAGAGGACATATTATCCCCCTTCTCCACCTTTCCAAACAGTGCCCTGTGGTCTAAATAAAACATCTGTGCTTTGGTCAAAATATAACATGAATCAAGCACCAGAGGAGGTTTGTGACTCTGTATAAACCAGCTCTCTCAGAACGCTCCTTTTTGGTGTGTGTGTGTCTCTTTAAATGCAATGACCCCGCCTGAGTTTTCCCAGTAGACATCACTCCTCTGTAGAGAGAATAAAAATGGAGGACCTGTGCAAAACTTTTGTTCTAGGCTGGGGGTGGAGTCCATGGGTGGAGATACTAGGGCCTTGGAGGGGATTTTGTTTTTACCAGAATCCCACTGTGACATCACAAGGAGAGCACATTTGAAACGGAGCATTTTTCTCTGTGTTGTAAGACTTATGCAGACCACAAACAAAGGACTGGATGGGTTTATTTCACATGTTGTGGGTCAGTAGACACTCAGGTTACCCAAATATATGTTCAAAAACACTGAAGAAGTGGATTTGTGGATGTGTCCCCTTTAAGATGAAAAATAGGTATGTAAAGTGCGTCTTATACACTGGGTCTTACGGTAAACAAATGGGCACCTGCCCTTTTGTGCCCCATCTTCAAGCCTTTATTTTGAAAGGGTCGAGTATGGAAGCCTTTTCATGAAATTCTTGTTTTTTCCAGAAATTTCAAAATAATGTCTACAGATAAAAAGAGATAGCAGCTGATAGTTCACGCCACATGAAAACCTTGTGCAGGTGCGAGTATGACTACAGGAGGAGGAGGGATTTCTCTGCATGAGAGGCCGTTTTTAAGTGTTTGCAGCGCCGTTATGTGCACGTGTTTGGCGACATTATAAGACTATTTGCCAGCTAATAACACAGCTGAGCTTCTGGGGGATGGGTGTGAGCAGCAGGTGTTAAGGAGCGCCCTGTTATTGTTTTTCAGCTTCACCAACTACCAAGGTGCATGAAGAGTGAAAGACTTTAAGAGGTCAAAAAGCTCCAGCAACACTTTGTAGTATGAGGATCAACTTTATTAACAAATTAAACCGACGTGGTTCGGCTTGTGGCGTTCATCAGGGTCATCGGGTCACAGATCGAACTCTTCCATCGTTGGTTTTCTGAGGGCTGAATGATTGTTCTGAATGTTTCCGAGCACCAGTCTTAGCTGATAAAGACGACTAACGATCACACCACAGAGTAACTCACCTTTCGACAGCGATCGCCACCAGAGTGAAGACCGAAGCGGAGACGGACACTCCCTGCACGAAGCCGCTCATTTTGCACACCATGTTGGAAAAGGGCCAACCTGTTGAAGAAGAGAGACAACACAGAGTCACTCAAGGTCATGACAGAGTGACTCCTGTGACGTGGTCGCATTAATTGAAGGAGATTTTAATTAATTATTCGCATATATCGATAATATGAGAAGGATTGTCTTAGGCCCCGTGTCCGCCTGACGTTCTTTCCGATGAGAAAAGCACTGGCTGTGCACTCAGGAGTGTTTGCATGAAGCGTTTGTGCTCTGAGAAGAAAAGCGCTGCAAGTCTGTCCTGTCTCTATGACAACAGTCTGTTGACAACTGCTGACACTGCTCCGTTACTTTTTACTGCATGTTTCATATTTTAGATTGTTTATTTCCCAATCAGACACGGAGTGAGGAGGATGTGGTAGGCGTCTAAAACTACGGGGAATATCGTACATTTGGAAAAGAGCCTTTTTGAAAAGTTGAAAGATTTTCAACTTGAGTGCTCGGAGTGACCGCGCAAAAAAGCCAGAGAGCTCAGAAAAAAAGACACCGGATGTTGCACTTTTTCGCTATGCGGTCCTCCTGAAAATATATATTTTCATTTTCAGGAGTTACATATGGGAGAACGACGATGGAGGCTTCAAACATACTAAAGCTCCACACCCATTCATTTCCCACTGGCAACGACAAATAGCTACAGCACAACATGATGGGGAAATCGAATAGCACAGTGAGAACAACTGAAATCAATGAACACTGACCCTGAAAGGGCAGAGCATTAGTGAGACCTCTCTTTATATCTAATCTCATGAAATGAAACCTTCCTTGTTCCAATGTGGGCTATAAAGAGAGAGAGAGCCCTGGGGTACTCATTACCTCAGCATGACCGTGATTGCCTGACTGAAACCACAGAACACAGTCGACATGCTGATTGAGATTGAGATTGAGATTCAACTTTATTGTCATTACACATATACAAGTATAGAGTAACGAAATGAGGTTTGGCATCTCACCAGAAGTGCAAATAAGCAGAAAGTGCAAGAGTCTGTGCTATGTACAGTAATTGAGTTTCAAGAGTCTGTGCTATGTACAGTGATTCTGTGCTATGTACAGTAATTACAAAATTTACAGATGTAGACAAAAAAGTGAATTATTAGGTAATATATGCATTACAGAATACAGAAAGAAGAGCACACGAGCAGGATTTCAGAATAAAGAGACATTCCATAGGACCAACCAGTAAGATGTGTAGTGAGTGAAATAATGAAGGTATCTTACTATATGAAGTGTTGGCTTCTCTGACAACAATGCAGCAGCCAGTATGTCCTCCTTCTAACTTTAGATTCTGCTCCTGAATGCTCTGGATTTGTTTGGACCAGAGAAAGTAGGCGTTTTTAAGACACCCCCCCCACACGGCTGTTTTGGAAGGCCTTCCCTGAGCTGTGGCTCAGTTTGTAGTCGTCGTCTCTAAACTGGAAGGTTGAGGGTTTGTTCCCCAGCTCCTGCAGCTACATGTCCGATGTGTCCTTGGGGAAGACCCTTAACCCTGCTGCTTCTTTGACAAGTTATGTATACGTATGAATGGATTAGATAAGACTAGTCTTATAGTACTCAAAATCGGTCTTGGTCTCCAGACTGGTCTCCATCTTGCCCCGCCTTGGTATTGGTCTTGACTCGGTCTCGATCCCTAAATGTCTTGGTCTTCTCTCTGTCTTGGAGCACTTACCTGGTCTCAGGTAAGTCTTGGTCTAGTCAATTCACCATTTACGGACCCGCACCATCTGCCTGTGACTTTGAGTCTGAAGACTTTCTCCCTAATTAAACTACAATTTGTTGAAGAATTCAGTCACAGACATGAATGTGTTGTTTTGCTGTTTTTACAATTTACGCCTCTTGGAATGTATTTTGAGTTTGTTTGACTAACATGGACCTTTAACACGACAGCCTCACCAAATATGAATATGTTGTGATGAACAAAATGCAATAGGGATGAAAGAGAGACGTCATGCAGGGTATTCTAATACATCTCACTGGGTTACTCTGCACCATAATAAAGTCTGAACACATCTGTGATGGACTCATTGTTGACTCATAATCAGACTCTTTCTTCCATGTGAGCGAACTTAATGGGAAACGGAGCCCCCTCCTGCAGACGGTCTGATGAGTCATCTCTAAACAAATACCAACCAGCCCAGGATGAACCTTCTGTGTTATTCAGCGGCAGTAGCTCAGTCTGTAGGGACTTGGGATGGAAACCAGAGGGTCGTCGGTTTAAGTCCCTGAAAATGCTCTGGTAGCAGGAGAGATGCTAGTACACTTCCTGAGGACTGCTGAGATGCCCTAATAACGTCATGTTCCCTTCACCGTACTTTAGACCCTGACAAAATAAAAACTACCAGGAGAATATGAACCAGGCTAAAGGTGTCGCTTTGAGGAGTACAAAATAAACATGATAAAAAAAACTGAATGAACAAACTTTTCCTGGGCAGATTGAAAACATTCATTAATTTTGAGTTAAATGTTTTGCCTTTAAGCTCCCTTTTCTTTCCACCTGCAGGCTCCGACTGAGGGCTCAGAAATATAATCCCATCACACCTGAGATTGGAGTCTGGAGGCTGACAAATTGTGTTCTGCTGCTGTAATAAATATTTAAACAATTCAAACGTGAGGCGTCTGACTGGATAATAAAATATTCTGTCTGGTGGTTTTTCATTTTTGTGGAACATTATTTGTGAGACAACTACACTCTTCATTTACGGTTTCAATCGACTTTTTTGTGATCCATTTTTTATTGTTCACCATTGTTGTGGTTACATCAACAACCAACAAATATCCCGGAGAGAGGGATCACGTTCATCCATAATCGAAAAAAAACAAAAGAGAGATAAAGACAGAAGACAAACAAAGGGGGAAAAAATAAAATAAAATTGGATCGAGTGTTAGAGGGTTTTGTTTCCATGGCCGCTGCACAGTCAAAACATATATCCTTCTTGCAATCCTGGTCCCCCGATCACCATCGTCTGCCTCCACCGCCACTCTTCCCTGGCTGACCGCCACTCGACTCGGCCTCGTCCCTTATTACCCGGAGGGACTGGTGATGTGCGGTCACTACTCCACGAGAGGGATTTGGTGGTCCAACCTCCTTTAATGAAACCTAACCTCAATCCATCTTATTTTAATCATTTCAGGCCGATATCAAAACTTCAATTTTTATCCAAATCTTCAGAAAAGGTGTTGCTACACAACTTGAATGTCTCACAATAAGCTCTTTGAGACATGTCAGTCTAGTTTCAGAGCTTTGCACAGCAGAGACGGTGCTCCTCAAGGTAACTAATGACCTACTTTGGGCAGCAGATGGGGGGAGGGCGCAATTTTGATTCTTTTAGACTTTAGTGCAGATTTTAATATAGTTGATCGTTCTATTTTTATTGACCTTCTTAAATATTGGGTGGGGATACATTCGGTGTACCGCAAGGTTCTGTTCTAGGTCCAATTTTGTTTTAAATTGACATGCTGCAACAGCCAAATAATTTAGCGCCCTTTGGTCTCCTTTTATTGATATGTAGATGACATGCAGGGAATCCTAGAAGCCAAGCTGCTGTCAGAGACTGTCTCAATGACGTGTACTGTTGGATGCCATGAAACTTTCTTTATCTACATAAGTCAAAATCCTGTTCAAATCCTTCAAGTCAATTCAATTCAATTCAAAAAACTTTATTTGTCCCCACGGGGCTATTCAAAGGCACACAGAGCAGTAAATGAACAACAGTGTAAGTAAACAAAACATTTTAACCTAAATATAAAGTGTCAATTTAAATACAACTTAAGGCTTAAACTTAACTTAAAAATACAAAATATAAAAGAGTAGATATAAGTGGACAGTGATCGGACTAACAGATGTAAACAGATGTAACCATAACTGTGCAGTAGTGACCAGATGTAAACAGAACTATGTGCAGTAAACGAGAAATAAATACATATATATATATACAGAGCTGTAGTGTGCAAGTAGGCAAATACTAAATGATAAGTTATTAAGGTGCATGGTGAATAATGGAACAACAGAACTAATATATACAATATAACTGTAAGGTAAAAATTAGATAAATAAAGTGACCGTAGCTGTAAAGGTAAGAATTAGATAAATAAAGGAGGAGTTAGGAGTTGAGGAGCTGGACAGCCCTGGGAACAAAGGTTGCTCTTCTCCTCTGTGTCCTGCAGCAGGGACAGCGAAGCCGGCGTCCTGAGGGGAGCCACTCAAACGCTGGGAAGAGAGCATGTGATGGGTCCTGCATGATCCGACCTGCTAGCCTGATTGTCTGTTGCTCATAGATCGATGTCAAAGTCCTTACAGGTAGTCCAATGATCTTAGAGCAGACTGTGTCCGTGCTCTGCAGGCGGTTTCTGTTCTGGAGGGTGGTGGTGTGGAACCAGCAGGTTATAGAAAAAGTAATAATGCTCTCAATGAAGGAGTAGTAGAAGGTCAGAAGAATGTTCTTACTGACTCCAAAGGAATTGAGCTTCCTTAGGAGGTATTTTCGCTGCTGACATTTCCTGAGAATCTCCTCGGTGTTGGAGGAGAATTTCAGCAGGCTGTCGAAGATGGTACCCAGGTACTTATACTCCTCTACTAGTTCGACAGGATTCCCATGGATTGTGGTGATTGCTGATGCAGCCAGTTCCCTCTGCTTGTTGGAGAAGGTCACCACCATGTCTTTGGTCTTTCTCACGTTCAGTTCGAGGCAGGAGCTGTCACACCACTCCACAAACTCCTTAAGAACTGGTCCATGGTGCTGAGAGGGGCCTGACAGCAGAGACAGGAGAACTGTGTCGTCCGCGTACTTCACCAGGTGACAGTTTGGCTGTGTGGTTCTGCAGTCATCGGTGTAGAGGATGAAGAGCAGAGGTGAGAGCACGCAGCCCTGAGGGGAGCCAGTTGAGGTGTGTTGGAGGTTGGAGAAGGTGTTGTTGAAGAACTCTCTGTGATCTGTTGGTCAGAAAGTCCAATATCCACAGGATAAGCTGGTCGTTCAGATGGAAGCCTTGGTGCCTTATCCACA